TAAATTAAATTATGATAAAAAATTAATTAAAGAAATTACAAACAAAAATTAAATAGTTAATTTGACACTAATATTGATATATATATATTTTTTCAAACTTTTATGATATCTTCGTATTTATATTTTATTCAAAAATGAAAATATTATCACTTTTCTCAAAACCATATTATAACAACGACTAAGACAAATAATAAAAGGGAACATTAAAATCAAAATGTATCTCGCTGAATTATAAGAATACCATTATAGTGTTAATAAATAATAATGGCTATAATATCATATAACAATGATAACAGTATAAAAATCAACAACTATAAAAATACAAATAATACTTATTATAAAATATTAAAATTATAATAACATAAGTAAAATAACAAAAATATTAATATCAATTTCATGATATATTTCTTAGTTATGAAAATAAAATAAAATGAAAGTACTTATACGGTAAAATTAAAAGGTTGTTTGTTTACTTCTTAATAGTTTCATTAAGAAACAGCATCTGAATCGTTGAGGTGAATCTTGTTTGGCAAAAAAAAAAATTATCTCTTAATAGTTCTAAAATCCTTTAAATGATTTTGTATCATGGGTCTCCCTTAACCATTCAACGCCCTAATTTCATTGTAAACAATTACCAAACAATTACATTTCATGTTTCATTATATCATGAGAGTCTTTTAATTATTATGACCATTTAATCATTCTGCACCAAACCATTCAACAACTGTCAAACAACCCCTAACTGAATCAAATTTAACAGTATAAAAAATAAAATAATATTGTTATAATATATATATATATATATATATATGTATATAATTTAATTTCAATCAATTTAATAAATAATATTATTTCTTTTTCTTAAACACTTAATTTCAATATGGTAGATTTCTTCAAACCCCCATAATTATAATTATCATTAATAATTATCATAAGAAATACTTCAAGTTTAGGGGCGGTTGTCGTATGATTTCTTGAATCATTCCAAAAACAAAGAAAGTAGAATCCTCCCAAACAACAGATGAGTTTTTATTAGAATATATTTAAGGATTATTAGGGTTAGCTTAGTCTTTTACGACAAGAATATCCTTTTTATATTATATTAAATAAATTAATTGAAGGAATTTAATTTTCTTTTTTAAATAAGATATTTGTTTTATGTAACGTAAAAAGGGTTTATAAGCCATGAATTTCCAGCTGGCCCACAAATACTAACAGCTCGTATACTTGCATTTCTAAGCGGTTATTTGTTTACTTCTTAATGGTTTCATTAAGAGATGAATCTTGTTTGGTAAAAAAAAGTGTGCATCTTAACCGTTCTAAAAGCCTCTGAATGGTTTTGTATCTTAGGTCTTAATCATTATGCACCAAACCATTCAGTAACTGCCAAACAACCCTAAATAGAAATAGTGTTTGGGAACCTAATACCGGGAACAAGTTTGCAAACCAAAGTGATGGCTTTACCGTTAGATCTTTGTGACATTACGTAAGGAAAATGTATCTATCTACTCATAAATGTTTAAGGATGAGTATACGGAACACGAAAGTCATATACATCGATCATTCCGTATCGAATTGTTTCCGATAAAAGTAAATAAATTAGGGTTTAAATGGATGTGTTCCTGAAATGGGTAAAAAGAGTGATGATTTGGTCACTCATCTGGTAGTATATAAATGAAGTCCCCACGTTCAGATGATGCATGCATGCATGCAGGCAATTCCACACAAATGGAGACACTTTCTAAACGTTGTCTTTTGATTGTAGCCATCTTTTTAATTGTCTTCCAGAGAACAACTACTATAACACAAGGTTCAAGACTACTTCTCGAAAAGAAGGCGGTCCATGCTGAGCACAACTGGATAGTCGTTAAAGGCGAAGGAGGAGATGGGATGGGTCCTGTAACAGGAGGACATGAAGACACCGGAAACGATGGTGGTGGTGGTGGATATGGTGAGGGTCCTGGAGGTGGAGGGGATGGCGGATATGGTGGGGGTCCCGGAGGTGGAGGGGATGGCGGATATGGTGGGGGTCCCGGAGGTGGAGGGGATGGCGGATA